ATAATAATAATAATAATAATAATAATAATAATAATAATAATAATAATATCAATAAATAATAATAATAATAACAAACAATAAATAATAATAATAATAATAATAATAATAATAATAATAATAATAATAATAAATCCAAAATTGTCCATAAATAAACGGGGCGCTACACACATAACACCGCCGGAAATACCACGACACTTTCGTCTACCCGACGCCCGCCGACACACCCCGCCACTTCCGGAGCCAGCTGACGCATCACCACCGTCGGAGCAGACCCGCCACCCAACCAAGCACTCTCTTTCTCCCGCAAAAAAACCCGCCGACTCATCCCGCCGGTAAATCTCCAGCACTGCTGGTGATGCACCACCGTCGAATCATACTTGCCACCACCGCCGAACCCCACACACACTATCTCTCTCTCTCTCCCGCAAGAAAAACAGTCCCGTCATTGCCTTCACGCGGCCGCCGGCTCTCGTCTCCGGTGCAGCCGACCTCGTCGGATAGCAACCGGCGACCGTAGCGCACCATACATCACCGGCGAACGGGAAAACATCAACCTCCAGACACAATCCGATCTCCAGGAAAATCCGATATCCTAGCCCTACCAAGTTCTGCCGCCTCTTACAGACACCAACCATCGGCCACCACCGTCGAAGTCCCGCCGTTAGGTGCCGCCGGTAGTCGAGCAGAGGGATGATGGAAGATGAATATCAGTTTCTGAAATTCAAGTTTTAAATTTATAGGCATTATTTTGTGAATTAGATAAAATTCAAGTACTTGATTGCAATTTATAAAATTTAATAAATTTCAATTCAACCCATGAGCTAAATCTATAATTTTTGAAACTATACAAAAAAATATGTTCCACTACCCGATGACTGCTCGTGCTATATGAAGTAAATATAAAAGGCTGCAAACTCTTTATTATAGCTTCATAAATGACCCTATGCATATATATTTTTTTATTTATATATTTATTATGTATTTTCATCTAAAGAAAGTGTACAATGTATGTGTGAGTATTATATTAAATGCACATGAGTATTATATTAAATGCATATTGATGTATTTAAGAATGCACAATAAACAAAATGAATAATAGTGATTATAGAAAAAAATAAATAAATATATAAATAATAAATCAAAAATAAAAAGAATATTAGTGATTATAGTATTGCACCGCAGTATTATACCGATTGCACATTAATGTGTTTGTGAATGCACTTTAGCATAAAAGGTGTGTGTTTTCACATATATTAAAATTTTTATTATTTCAATGTGGTTTTGACTGATTTATATATAACAAAACAATTTTATATTTTATTTATATATATTATTTGTTTTCAGCTAACAATAATATAAAAAATTAAATAAAAAAGTGTAAAAAGCTAAATATAATTTTATTATATATACAAATTGATAATGCGCAATAAAAGAATACCCGCTCAATAGACTACACAATAATGTAGTCTAAGTGCACATTAGGGGAAATTTTGAGTGTTCATGACAAAATATGTAATTTATAGCAATATTTATCGTAAATGCATAATAATGATAAATAAAGTGTACAATATTTAAAAAGTTTAATATATAAAAAATATTAAAATAATAAATACACCTTTATAGTAAAAAATAACATATTATTTCAATTATTTAGGTTAATTTGATGTACAATTATATATACTAAATCTATATTTCAAGAATAAATAATTTGTATGTGATCATGTAAACCAGTGCATTTTATATATCATCATGATGCACTTTATACAACAATATGTCGCACTGTATAAAACAACAAATTGCAATGTATAAAATAATAAAATGCACATTGCCACCACAATGCACAAATAACGTCAACATCTCACACCATACATAATACTTTAATGTCAATCACATTATTTATCTATACAAAACACAAACATGATAACATATAAAAAATACAGCAGTTCACTTTACACATCAACACTTTGCAATTTATAAAACAAAACGTTGAACTTTATATTATCGCATGTTGCACTTTATCACGACTATCAGATTGCACGATCGAGATCGAAACGACCGAACTCAAACTTTTCAACAAAAAATAACATAAAAATAATAAATAAAATTATTAACTGATTAAATATGATTTTAATATAAATAACAAATTATTTGGATTATTTTGGTTAATTTGGTTAACCGAACCGAATAAACTAATTAATTATGTTAATTTCAATTTGACTTGTCAAGCGTTCGATTGGTTCAATATGCACGGGACAGACCGACACCGAGCACCATAGTGTTGGACGAATTACACTTTAATAAATGTTGGATTGAATAGTATATTTCTTTTACATATATACTAATTTTTTTAACAAACAATAATATATAATATCAATTAAAAAATATAAAATATTAATAATAAAATTTATGAAAAAATAAATTGAATAACAATACATATATTGTTAAAATTATTTATCAATTTTCTATATTTAATAGATTTTTAGTAAATTACGTAATTAATCAAAGTTAATAGCGCCTCCCGTCATGTTCAAGGCCTTTTTTCTTTTTGCCTATGATGGCATGTTTTTCCCAACTAATAAGTTAACTATATTGATTTATAATTAGTGTTTTTCAAATTGTAAATTGGTCCCTATAGTCTACTTAATTTTCATAAAAAAACCCCAAAATCCATTTTCACAAATCTGAAGGAATGAATGGACTCCTTTTATTTTTCCGGCCGTCACTCACATTCAGCAAATCGCCGGCCTCGATGCACACAGGGCACGCGGCCGCCGTCGGACCTCCGTCACCGTCGCGTCGCCACAGTCCGCCTCCTCATTGCAACGTCATTGTCAGCCGGCGACTCCTCGTTCTTCGTCCGCCGACGAGTTGCCTAGCATCCGTCCGCCGCCTCTTCGTCTCGTATCTGTCAGCCAGATCGACACCTCGCCTCCGTCTGCAAGAACGTTTCTTCTCCACCCATCACCGCGACGCACCGCCACCGTTCGCAGCCGCGTCGATTTGGTTATGTCCGCCACCGCGTCGCCTTGCCTCAGCCGCTACCTTTGGTAGAAGAGTGTGTGTGTGTGAGCACTTTCATTGTGAGATCTGGATGAGTTGATGGAATCGGTGGCGGCAGCGGGTCTGACGACGACGGCGACATGATCGGCGGACTCGTTGCGGTTGCGATGGCGTGCAAGAATCGACGAACTGGGTTGGGCTGTGATGAGCTGCCGGCGGGTGTCCGGTAGAGAGACTGCCGGGAGAGAGGGTGAGATAGAAAGAGACAATGGAGGGGAGAGGAGAGAGAAGAGACGGTTGCATAATTCTGGTGGGGCCCACTGAATTTATTAATTAGAAATTACATCATTGTCCTCCAATGTATTTATTTGTCCATAATATTGTAATATAATTACAACTTTGCCATTACAGTTTGACCATTATAACTCAATTTTGACTTTATCATGTTCATTGGTATAATTGATCTAATGGTCCATGATCATTCTTATTTCTTTCACTATCAACCATTCTCATATGATCCGTTTTCTCTCTATATATATATAGAGTTGGGATCAAATGAGAATGGTAGATAGTGAAAGAAATAAGAATAAACATGTACCGTTAGATGTGATTAATGGACGATCCAGATGTAGTCAAATCAATTAAAAAAAACGGTGGCATTATCGTAAATAAAGGAAATTTCAAGTTTTAATAGGTACATGAAAGGGCATTATTGTCATTTCAATTCTAAATGGCTGAGAGAGAGATAGGGCGTGCGTGGAGTCCATAGAAGTCAGTCGACACAAAGCTTGAGAGAGACGAGGGAGAGAGCTTAACATAGAGTGATGAGAGAGCACTTGAACTCTGTATTCAAATTTAAATCTCCGAGTTAATCGGGGCGGCGCAACAGATCAGGGATGCCGGAGACAGAGTGTTAATCGGCCCAGCCCACAACGTCAAGTAAAGCTTCTGTTCTTAGCTCTGGATTGATTTTAATCGGGTTAATATATGAGTTTTTGTTTGTTTGGTTTGTCAGTTCCTTTGATTGTGTTCGATTGTGACAATAACTTGTTAGGGATTGGTTATTGGATCGTTCTAGGGTTTTGTCCTTTCTTTCTCCTTTTTGCTTTTATGCGTTTTCTGATAATTTGACGAGTTTTTTTATGTCCGATTAGGTAGATTGTGTGTGCATTAGTGTGTTGATTCTTTTATGTTACCCTATTTTATGTTACACTTATGATGAACAATTTAGTTCTCTATGTTTTTTTTTCCCATTTTTTTGAACTATATCGCATAAGGTGCTTTTTTGGTTTGATAAGTTATCAGATTTTCCACAGCTTATTGCTTTTAAAATTTGGCATCAAATAATCCTTTTCATCTTTTCAATGCTATGTATTTTCTTTAAATCTATGTATATTTGACCGTGTGCTGAATTGAGTGATCGAATTTTTCGTGATAGAGCAACACAATTCAAAATGTTCACCAGGACAATATAGTCATAGCTAAACAACCATTAATGGAGACGATTACCATATCCGAACAATCAACCGAAGAGACAATTACCTAATCAGAATAACCATAAGAAGAGACGATTGTTTTGCAGAACTCGATTCCAGAGTTGCAATAAGCCCTCACTTGTTTATCTGATTTCGAACTTTGGACCTTTTACAAAGAATGTGCTGCAGGAGGCCATGGGCTACGTGCTCAATACCCATTTGGATGATGGAGATGCAACACCCCGCTACTTAGGGCCAATTTTTGGCAAATTCTAACTTTAAAAAACGCTTATAAATTTTTCGAAATCGTTTGCAAACTATCTCGGGATGCTGCTAAAAACTCATTTGCTTCGGAAATCCGTTTTCCTTAACTAGGTCTATCAACTGGTTTAGACTTTAGGAAAATCAGATTTAAATCTTTTATCGAATCTTGCATTTTAACTGGTCCCGTTCGTACTGGCGAACTGAATAAATTATTTAAGTCTGAAAGTACTGTCATGCAAGTTCGAAATAAAAGCAAGCATAGCGGAAGTCTGAAAATGCGTGGAAATATTAGTTATACAAAACATGATAACAAATGTCCCTGGAACGGCTCGCTGTGCCATCTCCACGACCACAACCACCACAGCTGGACTCACGCCTACCCGCTAACCCTGCCATCTGAAAATATAAAGTGCGGGTGAGTACGGTCCACTTGTACTCCATAAAAACTCATTCTAAAGTAAATAGCAATAATAATAATGATATCAGAGAACCGGTATATATAAGTAAACTTAAATTCTTGGAACACTATGGCCGGTAACTCCCGGAACACTCTGGCTGGTAACACCCGGATTCTCAGGCCAGTAACCGTGTGCACACTCTGATGGTATAACTATGGCGAACTGGGCCACCATCAGAACTTAGGGAAGGCAAACTTGGCCTTAACCCCAAGCGAACAAAACTCATATACATACCTGAACGTGATATCGACTATTATACTCAATGTATAACCCAGACTGGGTCCCCACCTAATCTGCTTTGAAAATATGTAAGTGCGGCTGTGCTGGTAGCTGACTCCTCAAGCTACATAAAAATATAAGCAAACAAATATACTAAGTACTATGTTCGTCATATGCTCAATAATATGCTAGGATGCTCTACTCTATCAGATTACTCATCCGGATATAAAGGAACGCTCTATGGGATCACTAAAATAATTCTAAGTCCGGAAATTAGACTGATGTGCTCAACTGATCTGGTTTGGCTCAAAAAATTACTTACATTTTGGAATAAAACTGGGACCGAAATACTCGAACCAACACTGACTCGAAACGCCGGCTAAACCGGCCGGTTCGTCGACTGATTGAACCGGGTCGGACTGAATCGAACCGGGTTAGACCACCGGTTCACTCTGTACCGGGTGGTCACGGGCTGCTCGGACTGGCCGGGCTAAGTCCCATGCCGGGCCTGCTGGGGCCCTAGCACGGCGCTAGGCACGAGCTGGGTGCGACTGTCCTCGGTGCTAGGCGCTGCTGGGTGCGGGCGGTGCGGCTGGCACGGGCCCTGGCACGACTGGTGCCACTAGGTGCTGCTGGGCACGGCTAAGGGTGGCTAGGTGCTCTGGTGCGCTGCTGGCGCGAGCACGGGCACGACTGGTGCCACTTGGGTGCTACTGGGCACAGCCGAGGGTCACTGGGGGGGCGTGCGGCTGGACACGACCCGAGTGCGTCTGGCACGAGAACTGACACGGCCAGGCACTACTCGCACAGCTCGGGCATGCTAAGGCTGTCAGGGTGCTGCCGGGAGACCTGGGCACGCGGGCGTGCTGCTGGGCACGTCCCGGGCCAACTGACTGCTCGAGCGTGCTGCTGGACACGTCCCGAGGCGTCTGAATACGGCTCGGGTTCACTAAGGCGCGACACTAAACACTCGGGTGCACTGCTGGCACGACCCGAGGTCGATTCCGCGTGGCACGAGCGACTGGCTCGAGGTCTCGCGTGCACTGACGTTGGGACAGCGCTGCCGGGCGCTGTTGGAGGTGTTCGGGCGCGACTGGCGCCGAGACCTCGCTCGTTGGCACGGACAGGCGCTGTTGGGCGCTGTCGCGTGCGCTGGGGGCTGCGGTGCCTCGCGAGCGCTAGGCGTGGGCACGGACAGAGGCACTGCCTGGCCTCTGCGACGCGGCACGGTGATGAAGATCGCGTGTCCCGATTGCCGATAAGCCACAAACCAATGCCTTGAATCGCCGATAGGTGTCTCGAGGTTTGCACAACCGCACCCCTTGAAACGATAAAATTGCAAAAGAATTCGAAAAGAAATCTAAGGCAAAGTGTTTGAACAAAAGTTTGGTTTTTCTATTAATTTCTTGATTTATTATTTCGAATGACATTGGGCCCTATTTATAGATGCCAAACTAGTCTATTCCTAATCTAAGAAGAACTCCTAATGTTTGGAAATAAATAAAGTCCTAAGGAACTAAATCACTACTTAAAGCAATAAAATATTAAAGTCCTAAACAATCTAGAAATCATAATGGAATAAGGAAACCAAATAACTAAGGGATCTTGGAAAGCCCGCGTGCCCGCCCTATTCGCGGCCCGCCAGTGCTCGCGCCTGCCCGCGCGTGGCCTTGCACGCCCCAGCGCGCCAGTGCGCTGCCAGCGCGCCCATGTGCGCGGGCTGCACCCGTTGGGCACCCGACTCGTGCGCCTTCCATTTCTTCGAGCCACCTGGTGCTTTAGCCATCCCCACCATGTTTCACTCCCTCGATAAGCATCCCGAAACCTCCGATGATACGTCCGTTTGAGGCGTGGTCTCGTCCGTGCACGTCTACGCCAATGCGCGTGTTTGCGCCCTTCCTTGCACCTTGCATCTCGCACTTCGCATGTGCTCGACCAATAGTGTGATGCTCGTGTTGGACCTACTTGCACATTGATCCGCTGTACCTTTGATCTTCTCGCATTCGGCCATGCTAACACCGACCTCCTAAGCCATGGCGCACGTCGGCACCCTCGTATACGGGCTCGTGCACGTCTCCTAGGCCACGCAAGCCTTGTTTCGGTCCTTTTCCCAGCCTTCTCGGGTCGCCGAGGGCCGACCTCGAAACCCACATTCGCATCATTCCCGCCCCCTTAAAGTTTGTCCTTGTCCTCAAGGACTCATCAAGTATCTCCCTTCGGGGCTCGTCGTCCTCCTCGATCACATCAACCTCTTCTTTCGTTTTCTCGACTCTATTGATTCCGGCTATCTTGGCCACGTCCGAAACCTCCTCGGGCCCTGGAGCTTCGACCACCTTGGCTTTTTCAACCTCAACCTCGACGAAGTATTCATCGGGGTATATATCGTAGATAGGCGGGCTTAAGTAGTCGATCGTAACTCCCTCGTCCACGAACACGTCGTCGAACAAAGGTGGGTCCTCGAACTCGATTTGCTCGACCATGGACTTGGTGACCTCGTCTTCAACATAGCCCGTGCAATCGAATGGGAATATGGTCTCCTCGTCATGGTTCGCGTCGACCACATCTTGTACTTCGACCATGCACTTGGCCTTCTGCTCGAGTTGTTCGACCACACTTTTGGGTTCGCTTTTAAAGTATCCCGAAAACTCCAGCGGGAAAACAGGCTCCCCTTGCTTGATCTCAGCTTGCTCGAGCTCTCCTTTGGCCTGATCGTACCCGTAAGGTGATGGTCGAGCTTCACGTGGGTGTGGTCGATCATCGTGCGATGGTGGTCGATGTGCAACCCTTAAGCATTCGTCGAGTCGGTGGCTCTCGAGTTCCTTCTCCTGTTCGTACTCGACGCGGCGCTGCTGGTGCTCCTCATACTTTTCATCGACCTGACCTTCTTCTTGGTCGAACTCGCCTAGTACGCGGTCGGGCACTCTAACCAACTCGTGCATCTCGGTTTGTTGTTGCTCGGTCATACCCGCGTGTGCGCTTGCCTCCTCGACGATGAAGATCTGGCCGCCTCTATGCCAATCTTGCTCCATACTCTTGAGACCAACCTCCTTGGTCCCACCGTCCTTGCTTGCCTTTAATGTGACCCGGTGATCTCCCGCGTCGAACTTCATGACCCCCGTTCGGTAATTGGTGGTCACCTCGCCTAGCCCATCGAGCCATTGCACTCCTAGCACAACGTCGGGTCCAACCAAGGGTAGCGCATAGAGATCGGCTTTGATGGTGACTCCTTGAAATTTGATCGGCACCCCGTGATAAGACTCGGTGCACCTTAGCCGTTCGCCATTGGCTACTCGAACCTCGAATGGCTCTACCTTCGTCGTTGGCAACTTCAACTTTTGAGACAGCATCGCGTTGATGAAGTTATGTGACGATCCGTTGTCTATTAGCACGACTACACGGCGGTCCTTGACACATGCTGGTAGCCGCATCGTCCTCGGTCCTCGGGTGCCTGCCATTGCGTGCATTGAGATCTCGGCTTTCTCCTCGAGTACCTCAACCTCGACCTTGCTCTCTAGGTGCTCCTCAACTTCGGACTCTTCCTCATCCGAGTCGA